TATCCCGATTTCATTGTTTTAACATTCATTTTTCTAAATAAAAATTTCGTTCCTTATGTATGTTTAATATATATTATTGAAGCACAAAGTCCGTTCTTTCTATACCCGGTATTCGTTTTTCACAAGATTTATCATTTTAACATGTTTGTAGGCTTCAACTTTAGTATGAATCAGCGTGATATTCGTGTCCTTCTTTTGCACGAGTGGAAGAGTGGACATAATGCCGCGGCAGGAGCTCAGAATATCATCAAGTTTGGGGTGAAGGTAGTGTTGGTGAATCAACAATGCAAAAATGCCTTAAGATATTCCGATCTGGTGATTTCGACGTCGAAGCTAAAGAAGACCGCGGACGACTTAGTGAACGTTACGATGAAGAACTGAAGGCACTAGTGGAAGTAAATACGCGAACAACTGTTCGAGACTTGTAGAACTGCTTGGCCGAAGACAGGAATAATTTCTACTCATTTGAATCGCACTGGAAAGGTAAAAAAAACTCGACAACTGAGTGTCGCACGAACTAGACCCATAATCAAAAAAAAATCGCCGTTATGAAGCGCCGTCTGCTCTTATTTTGCGCCACGAAAACGACTCTTTTCTTAATCGAATTGTGACGTGCAATGAAAATTGGATTCTGTACGACAACCACCGACGTTCAGCTCAATGGTTGGATTGCGATCAGGGTCCACAGCACTTTCCAAAGCCGAAATTGCACCAAAAAAAGGTTACGGTGACTGTTTGGTGGTCTGCGGCCGAGCTGATTCATCACATCTTTTTGAATCTGGGCTAGACGATTATGGCAGAGAAGTATTGCCAACAAATAGACCAAATGCACCGTAAGCTCCAATAACAACGACCGGCATTAGTTAACAGAAAAGGGCCAACCTTTCTCCACGACAACGCCCGGTCTCATGTTGAGGAACCAGCGGTGCAAAAGTTGAACGTGTTGGTCTACGAAACTTAGCCTCGTCCGCCATGTTCATCAGACTTCTCCCCTACTGGCTTTCACATCTTCCAGCACTTTGACATTTTCGTTCACGAGAAATACTTCACCAACCACGATGAGGCAAAAAATGCCTTCAAAGAATTCATCGATTCTATAAATCCAGAATTCTATGCAATTGGAATAAAAAAACTTGTTTCTCGTTGGAAAAAATATGGTGATTCTAAAGGTGCTTAATTCGATCAATAAAAAATTGTATGAAAAGTCATAGTTATCTAGAGTTTACGTTTAAAATCGCACATTTCATATGTTACAACCTAATACTTTCTGCCTATCGAAGTTCTTCGTGGCAGGGTATTATGTGAAATGCAACCATAACGATGCTGTGATATTTGCAAAACTCCGGACCGCAGGTGTCTGTGGCGGGGGTCGAACACGACGTCACCTTTTCCGGAGATTAACATGTTCACCACCACAATGCATGTCGTTTGTTTCGACTTTCTCTCAGCTAGTATTCTATCTACCATTCCAATTAGCAATTACTCATAATAATATGAGATTTAGTAAAATAACCACCAAAAGCAATCCATGAAAATTTTGCTATTTATTTTCCACTGACTCCATGTATAGCTGTATTGCTGCTAATATATGTTAGTATATTAAACACGTAATATATTATATTAAATATTAGTATAAAGAACACCCGACTCCGTGCCCACGTTTTCGACTAAACGCTACTTCCTACCCTAACGTATGCGTCAGAAACCTGGTCGGTGCGTAAGCAGGATGAAAGGTCACTCAGCGTTATCGAACGCGCAGTCGGAAGGACGAAGCTAGGAGTATCCCGTTCCACACAAGTAAAGGAAAGGATCCGAAGCTCCGATCTGCGTCAACGATCAAAAATCAAAGATACCGTTCTGTACGCTAAACAATCGAAGATAAGCTGGGCCGGACACGAAATGCGCATGACTGACAACCGGTGGACAAGAGGCGGTAGTGACTGGATTCCTCGAGATCTTAAACGCACTGCAGAAAGACCACCGACACCATGGTCAGAGTTCTTCACAAAGAGCCTTGAAGAAAGATATGATGCTTGACGAGTCCCTAGAGCGAGCAGAACCAACTGGGCTACTCTTGCACGCGACAGAGAAAAATGGAACATTTACTGGCACCCGCTCGAGTCACTCGACGATCAACGGGACTACAGGTGATACAGGTGATACCGCAGAATTTCAGAAAGCATCTACGCGAGCATTCTTTAATGAAGTCCGTGAAGAACACAAAATCTTCAACTAGGGGTCGAAGACTACTGTTGGTCTCACGTAAAATACTAAATGGAGGGCTCACAGAAAGCGACTCCGAAAAAGACGAAATCCGCCGAAATGCTAACTTTTGTGAATAAAGAATATGGTAACAACCTTGTGTGTGTGCTAATCAAGAAAACCATGAATGAGGGGTAAAGAGTTCGTCGATGACGAGGCCCGATAACAAAACCGAAGGAAGAGGTACAGCGATCTGAGCAACATGCGATATCACGTCGTATAAAAGTAAAATTAGGCAAAAAATGATAGTAAAGGCATTATAATGATAGTAATAACAGCGGCAACAATAAGTTTTGGTGGGTTTTGGAAACTATATTTCCTTAGGTGCGTGTGGAGACGCCTTGCGATACACACGGCTAGATTTCCGTGCCCAAAGCTCACCAAGCCCTCCATCGCTTCGGGATGGGCGAATTGGTACCGGACGTGATAGGATGCTTGGGAGGATAGAAGCACTGGCTCCATTCATGCTGGCTGTTGGCCACCACGAGTCATTGTAAAGACCAGGTATGCATTCAATCACCTCCAACGATGCCTAATGAAGTCGGATGCACGGCGCATTCCCCATGGATTGATGAACGCCGGGAGCTATATCCTTTTATCCTCTATATTATTTCGTTAGGTATTCTCTTGATACGATCAGCACATTAAGATTAAGCTGTCTTCGAATTTCCACTATTTAGTTTTAACCAATTATAAAAATACAATAATCTAGTCATAAAAATTATCGCACAATAGCAAGCAGCATTACCAAATGAGGTTACATCATTTGAACGGTGCGACTACGAGGAAGCAAATCGAAAGGAAGAACGGCTGTGGACAGTGGGACGGAAGCATCCCGGCTCTACAGAAAGGGTTAGCGCCGAAGCATTGACGTGTAGGATAAAACGTAGAATTTTGTAATAAGCTCGTGCAAGCGCAATACTGTGTAGCAACAACGTAATGATTTCACAAATCATCATAATAAGAAGTAAAATTGAAAAAGTGTTTACCTCTGAATGCATAAGTGCGGAAATTTACTGCCTGAATAGGCGTTAACATGCGAAACTGTTGACTGCAGAGAAACTGCATCTAATCTAATCGGTCCAAAAACCGACGATTCAGTAGCACTTCACGTACGAAGAAGGTGACATGGAACATGAGTTCTCCACGAATCTACTCGCTACCCAATACATACATACACACACACACACACATACACACACACACACACACACACACAAGCACACACACACACACACACACACCGATACACACACATACCGGCACACACACACACACACAGATGTAAAGTTCTAATGTGAATTTAGCAAGGCGTTCAGTGATATATGTTGCTGATACAAAACTGAAAATTTAGCCAGCTTCAAACCATTATCGTATACCTCCTTCGATTGCCAAGCGAACACGAGGTTGATAAAAGATTTATTCGGCTAACATTTCAACGTTTTCGTCTTCTTCAGAGCCAAACTGATTCGAGGCTATCGTCCACAGCTAGTCGTTGTCGCATCGAGTCGAATCTAGTGGAATGGAGCATCGCACTAATAGAGGACTTTACTCAGCGGTGCTATTTCATAGCGTATGGGTGTTCATCGATTCCAGTCTCCAATATGGTGGTCTGCTTGGGGTGGGCAATGCATCCTGCAACAATTGGTATTACAATGGCTAGCACATAGAAAATCAATAGTTTCATAAACCGAGTTCCATTTACGCCTCAGCAAGAATAACAGATGCCTTATAAGCAAATTGTCGTATAGCTCAAATTTTTGTAGATTCACTAAGAAAACCTTATTTCATGTCACATAAATAAAAGAATAAAGGATGAAGCTCTCGGCGTTGATCAATCCCTGAGAGATGAGCCATGAATTCCACTTCATTAAGTATCGTTGGAGGTGATTGAATGCATATCTGGCCTTTACGATGACTCACGGTGGCCTACCGATGTATCGAGCCAGTGCTCCTATCCTCCCAGACAAGTCTGGTACCAATTTGCCGACTCCGGAAGAATGGAGGGCTTGGTGGAGCATTGGCGCGAGGATCGGTTCCACGTCTGTGTCGCAGTGGCGCCTCCAACCGCTACACCATACGCCGCTTCCGTAACTGTGCGCAGGATAGCTTGGCGTTGCATTGAATTCCGCATATCGTTTGATGAACTGAAGTCGAAAACAATGTCTTAGAATCTTTCAACGCTTAATCTTGGAACCGCATAACTGTCGGCATTCGGTCTTTTTCTGTTAATAAAGATGAGTCTACTTCTTACTTACTGTCTACTACGTACGATTCGCAAGACCTACGCGTAACGACTAGTTCTAACCCTACACAAGCGCTTGCAAACCGCCGATACGTCGCCGCATTATAAATTCTGCGCGTCAAGCAATTGAGCATTTTTTCATTTCAGCCAGATTTTTCCGGACGTTAATATAAAAAGCATCTAAGAAGACCAAATCACTCAACAAGCAAGATGCGATTTGTGACTAACTGTTCTAAAATTCCTTACCAAACTAGAATTCCTCGTGCAATCTTCGGCATAATGGAAACACAATGCCATCACTTGATTGCACAACACGCAACTATTATTCCCACGTTTATTGCAAATCTTCAAGTGTGCAATGACGCGTTTCATTTTAGAAACATGATAGAAATTTGTGTATCCACGGTGTCGCGTGCAGCAGGGATACAACACATCTCTGAAAATATAGGAAATTATACCTATCTAAAAGGAATCTAAGAAAACAAAAAAACTTCTAAATGTCGCATGTTACCTGAATCATTGCAGAATGGTTGTCGTCACGAGAATCACCAATCTCGGCACCGACAACCGGTTTAATTTGTTCCATTGGTTGCTCCTGAGAACAGGATTCACGGTATGTCTCACACAAATCAAAGTCGTGCAGCCAGACGAAGCAAGGAAAAACGGAGCGAATCCAGACAATACTATCGTCTGTGTTCGTTGTTTTCATCTGCGTCAATAATTCATTTCTTTCTTAACGCTCTATAAACGTCTAAGTGATGGACGTCTTACATGACTCATTGAGCTACGAAATTTCGTATTTGCACTGTTGTAGTTGATATATGTATAATCGTTATCCACATATAACTCAAGCAGTGCATTGATAATAAAGTTGAGGATCTGAAACAAAAAATATGAAGGGTACACGTTTTCTTAGAAAGGCAAAGGATTTTTGTAAAGAAGCAATCACACTGAAAGGATCTCGATAAATTTCATGCATTGTCAAGGTGAGATTTCAGGAAATTCGGCAAAAAAGACATGTTAGGGTAAAATTCCAAAAACGAAGTACATTTGAAAACCATATTTAAAGGTACTTTTTGTATTTGGCAGCAGGAAAAGAACATTCCGGAATATTGTTTGGTGTTGGTGCAGAGATTTCTAACGAACACCGTTCTACCTATCCGTGCATCCCAAATCAATATGGCACTTCGTTTTTACCAACGACATTAATTCTAACTCGAACGGTTTCAGCGTACACCTTCAGAAACGATAATATTATGAAGCGTATTCACATAGTATTTGCAAACCTTTGTGTTTTCTTATCGTCACCTACTTTGCTCTCCTCAGTGAGCTAAACTCCCAGTGTTCATAACATATTCTTGTGAAAAAGTTTCCCTGCTGTCCATCAGATCTGATGCACAAGTGGATCCGGATCAACGATTTTCGGCAGTGAAAACGCAGACTGCTGTGTGACCAGCCGAAAAGTGAAGAACACCTAAGGAATAATAGGTTAAAGCAATAAAAAAAAACAATCGCTGTGCTAGTAATACATGATAATAGTTGTGATCTTAAAAATACCTTAAAACCTATGTTATCTTTAGATATCTCATTGTTGAGATGACATCACATGTCTTTGAATAACCTGTAGTCCTAAGAAAAAGCTATTATGTGAAGAAAGCCAAATATTATGTGACTAAAAAGCATTCAGCATTTCCGTTTTTGAAGAATGAAACTATCACATGATATTACAACACAATGACAATTGAACCTCTTTAAGATCAGAATGTGAACTTGACATGAAGCCATAAGCCACGAAGCATAGTGAACGTCCTTTTTATTCAATTTGTACTTTAAACATAAACTACGAATGTATAAAAACATATGTTCCATGGCGCCCAATACAGCCGGAAACTTCCTCCATTTCACCGTAAGGTGACGATAATAACGAAGGAGACTATAAAAAAAAGGATAGAGAAAAAGGTAAGATGTTAATGATTTCAGTCGATCCCATCAAAATGCGCAAACATTTTCGAGTTTTCTTCAAGAATTCGTTGATGGAATGAGTAAACATAGTATTCGCACTAATTTTTCGGTGAACAACTTCTAGACAAGTCGATGCTTAACCAACTACACTGCTAGTTGGCCGAAACCATAGGATCCGGAGAATAAACGGGCGGGGCGAAAATGTGTTAAGGTCTGCATAACTCGTAAAGATTGGTCGTCGAACTATTACACTACAGTTTCCATTAACGCTTAGCAACACCAACGAAGTTAATACTCACTGAGAGTACTAACCAGTAGTTGGCAACTTAAACTAGAGATTGGTAGGCTGATCACTATTAGATATGCCACCTAATACTTTATGTTCTTCTTTAATACGATGATAAAATTCAATTGCATAAAGACATAAGTCACTAGAAGTCCTAGACATATAAAACGTAAAGCAATGCGAAATAAATAAGGTGTTCCCATATTCAATGGTGATCTAATGAAAACCACTATTCGTGTAAGTCCATAGATACCACGAATTGATTTAAATGCGCACTTGTCCGATAAATCGCCCAGTTCCTCGAATTTAAACATGAATATCCCAACTGACAAAGTGCTGAAGTGATCGGATACTAAGGAATCCACCACTCCGTGAAAAAAAACACGATGTCGTGTCGAATGCACCAGTGATTTTAAAGATATCGTGCCAAAATGTTTAAAAATTTGATTTTCTCCGAATGCTAACAAACGTTAAATAGGTTTTTTAAAAATTATGGTACAACATTAAACGTTATGGTTAGAGAAAAATAGTGGCAATCGCCAGCCATCGAAAACCACCATCGTCACGAATATCGCAAAGAACAAATCCTGTGCTCTTAATAATTCAAAAGACCGATTTTCTATGAACCTCAGCATGAATAGTTGATATATTTATTTGCATGATCTTGTAAACTGATCTTTTTGAGGAACCAACGTGTGCACGGGAAGAGAGCAGAGAGAGGAGTCCCGCAACTTGGCGCGGCAAATAGCCATTTCTAATGGCTACGAAACTGTAGCTCAGGATAGGTGTAGGGGAAATCCTAGGCCTCCAAACGACAACTCTAGCGATAGAAGGGTCCCGTTTATCCTACCCTTCATCTCAAATGATATAAGTACAGCTATAAAACGCTGCTTAAGAAGGGCGGGCTTAGAGAATTCGGTGAGCGTAGTTGAAATACCACCGAGTAATCTTAAGCGCCAGCTAGTTCGTAACCGCCTATATGACCGTCTATGTGCAACTCAAAATTGCATAATTTGCCTCAGTGGTAGAGACGGTGATTGCATGAGCTCGGGTATAGTTTATCTGATCTCCTGTAAGATGTGCGGAGACGAATACATTGGCGAAACAGGCAGACCTCTCTGTGTCCGCATGAAAGAACACCTAGCCGGCAAAAATAGACCAAATACCCCGCTAGGCACGCATAGGACCCAGAGACATAACGGGGGCGACATGAAAGAACACCTAGCCGGCAAAAATAGACCAAATACCCCGCTAGGCACGCATAGGACCCAGAGACATAACGGGGACGCGCGCAAAGCTGTGCTCAATGTGATTGAAATCTTGGTTTAGAGTTTCTTTGTTTGGTTATGGAGGTGTTTGGCCGAATAGATTGCTAACAACTTGACCTTTCCAGGGTCTAAGGAAGGCGAAATCGCCGAAACGTCAGCCATCGCGACCAACAATCCCAACAACAACGACAACGAAGACCTATCCCAACCTTACATCAGCTCAAAAGGATCAGTTTACAAGACCATATTAATAAATATATCAAGTTCTATGCCGTTTCTTCAAAACGCCATCAAAAAGTCAAGCAGATTTTCATAACCACAGTCGATTCAGAAAATGCATTGGAGAAAAAAACCTGCGATTCGGAGTAAAACACATTAAAGAGCGCGCCAAAACGAGCTCTAAAAGTAGCTCGGAAAAACTGAGAACGACTGAAATTCAACCTTGCAGTAATTACACCATAACGTTATTTCCAAACGAAAAGTATGGAAGCTCTTTAGATAGAAAACTATAGGTACAAATAACAGAAAAACGTGGATAAACTTTCGAGTTTACCTTAATTAATTCGTTAAAGCTGGAGAGATTCTTGGCTACACCATGAATGTGGGAACATTGAAACATACACTGAGTCAGAATAACCTGAAACACCGGAAAACAGAAGACTTAAAATTGGACAAAATCACGCAATTATCATATCTCTTTGTTTTAAATTACTATGGGACAAAGCCGGTTTTCGAACACTTCTATTTCACGGGTTCAACAGCGTCCAAACGGCAATGAGACCACCTACAAATGCGGATAGAAGAAGAGATCCCAGTTCAGGGTCACTAAAAGAGAGATAAGGAAAAAGATAAACGACTCCTGACCAAAACACTTGCAATATATAATAAAATAAGATAACAGTGGACCGTAACACTTTTAATCAATAACGGATACCTCGTTTGCTGAGGCTCCCGAATGGAAAACGAGCAAATTTTGCCGGCTGCAAACTTCCCGGTTTTTCGACAATAAAAGTGTTTTTCAATAATTAGACTATTTTAACGGTTGTGAACATTACATAGTTGTGGGAAAGGCTCTGCTCTACTGCTCTATGGGTACAGAATGTGTGCTACTACTTACTGTATATTTCTATTTTTCATTAAGCAGATACATTGCTGTCAGCAGTCGGAAGCATTGTGCACACCATGTTGAGGCCATTCCGCTGCTTTCATATCAACATTCTACAAGTTACCGGCCAATGAACTTCGAAAGGAGATTTTTCATGTTAATCTTAGAAGGGTTTTTATAAATCATTATGTGTAGTGAGTGCTTTTTCTGGTCTCAATCCTACTATCTCGATTTCTTTTTGATTATCTATCGAATGAATTTATAGATTGAGCAGGCTTTGGCCAGGCAGACCTCAAGATTCCAGAGTACCACAAAGGCTTAACCAGCAAATCTCCTAAAAATGAGGATTATGCTGGGGACCCGCACAACCAGTGAGGACGGTTCATTCAAGTATCAAGTATCAAGAATTCACATAGTGTGGCAAAGAAAAGTTCTGGAACACACTAAACTGAAGATGGACACTCTGTTGTCCGTACTGCCTCCTACCAATGAGATATCTTCACATATGCATGTTTTAAAGCTCCTCTTATTTGAAAATGACGAGCGTCCACAATCGGTAACGGCGTCGTCGTCGCATAGGCGACACCAACTCGACGCTTCGCGACCGCACGCAATCCAATTCATGCGTGAAACAATATTATAGCATTTGTATAGCAGAATGGGAAATTAGAGAGCCGTACACCCAAAGCATCCCATTAATGCTTTCGTACTGAGATCACAAAAAGAGGAAAAGGATTAGAAAGAAAGAAATAGGCAGACGATAACGAGAATATGGAGCGGTCTAGAAAAGGAGCGCTCTCGGCATCGACTCATCTACGAATGATCAGCGATCGCGGGCACTTCCTAAATTTAGTAGTTACAGTAAGTTGACCTGAATCAGGTTAACGCGCTAAATTCAATTCTCTGGTCAATCAATATGGTGGATGTCGCTGCGAAATCTGTGCGTCCGTTTGAAGATGGGGTTCGTTCCTGGACGAGAATCCGTAACAAAGAAAGCGAGTACCAGGAGGAACCCCTCATAAATTTCTCACGTTACCCTCATACCGATACAAATGAACCTAATCAGACAATTTTCCTAAAGAATAAAG